TTCTGAATATGTGGTTCTTTAATAATATCATTAATTCTTTGTATATATTCTGGGGTATAGCATTATTTTGTTATTATTTTTGGACATTGTAAATGGAAAATGTCCGTTCGATACGTACTTAAACTTTTCAGTCAGAGTTTGTATATGGTAAACTGAATATCTAAGTTCTCAATATATTGATTAATAATTTAATGATTGAATTATTTATCTAGGTAATATATAAAAGTGAATAGGTTTGATAGAAAAAAAAAATAACAACTATTTTAGAAATGTTAGGAGGAATTTGTGGTTTACCGTCGTTTTGTCTTACGACACCCTTCGGTGTCGTAAGTTTGGACTTTTATCTGTGTTGCGGCCTGGCATTATAGCTTCAACAATATATCAAATACTGTTTTTCATTTCGATACATTTTCAGTTTAGAAATAAAGCTAAGTATTATTTTAACCATATTCAAATATGGTTAAAATTAGAAATAAGTTAGAAATTCATAAATAATAAACCAATTCACGTCATAAGTAAAATTAAAAATCCATTTATTAGCTTTTCATTACGAATAGCTGAAGCGACAGGTTCGTCGTAACTTTAAACGAAGTCATTTCCAACCGCAGAACTTTATATCTTCAATTGTCGTCAAATTTTGATCAACTAGGTACTTCTGTTCATGTCACCGCTATTATCTTAGCGAATCGCATCGGCTTCATTCAGCTGTAGAGAAAGTTTAGGTAATTCATTTAAACTAATATTGTAAAGAGGAAAGATTTTATTGTATTGTTTAATTTTATTTACCTGTAAAAGTTTTTATATCGCGTTAATTCCTGGTTATGTATGTAAAATATGTATTGTATAAACTCAAAAAGAAAATAATACTTAACAGATTTTAATTTTTTTTACCTAAATAAAGTTCCATTATTAGCAAATCATGTTACTCGACCCTATTTAAAAAAAAGGCTGTGCTAAACCGAAGCTATATCTGGGATCATCTAATGTTATTCATGTTTGCTTCAATAATTCCTTCGGGTCGCACTAATTAACTTCGTTACATCTGTCGTAAGTCACACGTATATCTATTAATAAATCAAGAGTGAACATATGAGAATAGTAATTTAAGTATGTAGCTGTGAAATAACCGGGACACTTTCGTTAACAATTAATTGCACTAAACCCTCTGTGTTTTAGTCAGTACCCACTAACTGACCCGTCTCGACTTCACACGGGTAAATGTTTCTAACTAACATTAAAGTGTCATGCGGAATTCATATTTTAAGTAAATTTTGAAGTTCTCGCAATACTCATTTTATCTCATGTAGGTACAGTAGAATCAAAATAGTAAAGAGTAATATATATATATATATATATATATGTTTGTAATAAAGGAATAGATAATATTAAGTTCGATATTAATATCTATTCCCTTATTATTTGATATTTTGTGATAAATAAAATACTGAACAATTTGAATTTTTCATGCTTTAAATGTTTTGAAGGCTATTTTAATTTATATCTTACGGTTTAAGCAATATATATAAACAAATTCTAATTTCCAGTAACGCCAAAATCTATACTTGGATGATATTTTCCTATAGATATATTTCTTTGTTAATCACTCTATTTATTGATGATAATTTGAATTAAATCCGTATAGAATTACTTACATTTTTTCTAAGATATTAGACTACTATTTATATTGGTTAATCAACATCGGCGGTCACTCGTAAGAAGTTCCACGTGACAACTAGTTAAATATAATTTGAAATGTAACCTCTGCTTATAACCCATACCTATCTGTAGATATTTGTAACCAGTCACTTTAAATTTATTTGAGTCTTAACATAATTCATTTAATATGAAGTAATTTTTTTTTTTTAATTTAAACTATTAGGTAGGTACAAATATTTTTACTTCAAGAATGATCGTTATCCAGGCCAAACCTGCTTTTTAATTTGGTAGTAAGGCCCCATTGGTAATATATCAAGGGAAAAAAATGGTCGGCTTATGATGCTTATAAAAGAATTAACTGATCCCTAGGGGCCTGTTCTTGTTACGATCCTCTCGCATTATGTTATGACCATTTATCTTATCAGTTTACTATTATACAGTATTAGTGTTAATGCCTGTCATTTATAGAAATTGAATATAATATTTTATATATCGCAGCTCATATTGTATGTCTACAAGGTTTGCTCTCTACTGTATTTGTGTGATAAAATTTCAAGTTAAAATGCAACCTCTTCGCTTCTCCAGGCCAAATACTATACTTATGGCAAATTTCACAACGAGAATATTTAAGATGGCAACAGGTATTAAACAAAAAATGTTTCCTTACTTTTCATTAGTTTCCCAAACGACTTCAAATAGAAGGAGATTCTCAATTGGGTTTTTTTTTTTGTTTGTTATCACCTTAGATTATATAAATCGAGTGTCTCCATAGAAACGCTTCGAAAAAAACGAGTAAAATTTTTCATACAATTTAGCGTGATAAATAGTTATGAGCGATTCCTTTATAGATTCTATATTTATTTTCTCTTATAAATTCTGCATCTTTTTAATGTATAAACACGTTTTTTTATTTATTAATACGTCGAGGTACTCAAGATACTCAACGTCAAGATTATATAAACCGAGTCAGCTTTTTTAACGATTAGCTGACAAAAAGTTGAACCGTTTTTGAGGCTCGACGCTCTCTATATAATCTAAGGTTACCACATAACTCCGTGTGTTATAACCCGATTTGGATTTTTTTTTGTCTGAAGGGAATACGTACAGATTAATCCCAAATAAATTTGACTAAAATTGGTTCAGTAGTTTAGTTTCTAAATTATAATAACTGGTTTTGTCAAAATTGAAGTCGAATTTTTCATGGGACATTATCTTTAAATATTTTTCTTTGTCATCACTTATATCAGACATTTAAAAATTGACTGGAAAAAAACTCTTGTATCGAATATGTTTATCATTGTATTCATTCTTTTTTTTTAGAAAGGCTGTATCTTACAATTAAGAATTTTACTGTATAGTATAGTATTACCAAGAAATAAACGTTATTAATATTATAGGAATCATATTTTCCACAGTTAATATTTGTTAAGGAATTTAACTTGTATATGCGTGAAACAATTTATCTAATAATATCTTACATATACCCACCTATCACGTATTTTATGACTAAATTAGTAGGAGATTACGGATTCCTCGCTCTGAAACCGGTATCTCCTAAATTATTTAAATATAGATTGCCTGATTTGTAATACAACGTGTATCTGGAGTGATGGTATCCTTACTAATTTTTTAAAAGTGTGAAAGTGTGTTTTTTTTACATTATAGCGCTTTAAAGGCTCAACCAATCATTAAAATTTTGTATACACGTATATTATATGAGATAGAGATGGATATAGGTTACTTTTTATCCCGGTTAGTAAACATATTCTAATTACGAGGACGAAGTCGCAGGTACAAGGTAGTCTCTATATATGTGTATGGTGACATTTATTTCCAGATATAAATAATTAGAATCACTATTCATTATATCATACAAATATTACTACGTGTGCAACAAAGTTATATTATTATTGTAAACAATAATTACAAAGCAACGTCACACATAATAATAACAAAGTGACTTGATCTTCATTTTCTCATTACTTGTATCCGATATTGAATATTTTGCTGCCTACAAATGTTGTTACTATAAATTTAATTGAAATGAATTCTGAATTCCATAGGTTACTATGAAACGATTTGAAAAGAAATGTTATAGAAGAAAAGTTACATATTAAATCCGTTACTGAATCTAAAATTTGAAAAGCGAGTGTGAAATTACAGTACTATTGGAATTATCGACATTTATTATAACAAATGACCTATGAGACGCATATTAATACTAATCCCGTGTTATGAGCCTGCGTGTCTCGAGATAAAGAGTATTCTATTCCACTCCTTGGCTTATTTGAACAGTCGATTTTCGGGAGTCGCCGGTAAATACTGGCGTAATTTGTTTTACTCTCGCTTGGCACGGTTTGTTCCACGTTTATTTATTTAAGAAATGTAGTCCTTAACGAGTTTTTAATGTTTTCTTAAGTAATTGAATTGGTATTGTTGATATGATACGAAGAATATTCGAACTTGGATTTATAAATTTTCGAATAACCCTAGATCAGAAACATTCTGCATCGCAAAAAAGGGTCTAATCGTTAAAAACATTCAATGATAAACGATGAGCCAACGAGATATAACATAGATTACAATGTAGGTTACATATTTGAATTTAGAACGTGAAATTGCATGAAGGTATACGAATATTTTGATTCACAATAAGCAAAAAATGATAGCTTCAAACGTAACAAAATTAAAATGAAGCGAGCTTAAAACAAGTAGGGTAGGAAGTAAACCCTACCGGTTGTGAAAATAGGTTTAGAATTAATGATGTAATCGTAAAAAATTGTACCAAAATAATTTAAAAGAATTGAGAAAGTCTTTTTTTGTATGTCAAAAATCACAAAATTAGACAGTTTATTTAAGGGAATAAAGACCCAGACCTGAAACGATTGAGAAAAATTGCGTTTCTTTTTTTAGACTAAAGAAATTCAGCGTCTCACTCGGGATCTTCTATACATATAGGTATAAAGCCCTGTACTTTATTGTAACACTGTCTAGGTCATTTTAAGCATATATTAGAACCTAAAAAAAGTAACAGTACTATTACACACATATGCATTAAATACGTGTGAGAATGTCGCCTTCTGTTGTTTACAGTTTTACACGAAATACACGAAAGCTCTCGGCGACTTTACCTGCTTAATGCACGAATCAACTAACAGTCATTTTTATTTATTTAAACGATCCAAACATCAATTTAAAAAGTTTAAAATTTATTATCCTGGAACTTGGTTTTGAGATTCCCAGACTGTATTCTGAGCTGTCACCACTGATGTCTCAACTATTACTGCCTAATGTTGACATTAGTTTAAAGATGAGAATTTAAACTCTTTCCTTATTGTTCACAGTGTTTTCCAAGGGACAATGCGAAACCGGGCGATATCGCTTCCTGGCCAAGACGGGCGGGTATGCTTGGGTGCAGACCCAGGCCACCGTCATCACAGACAAGCAGCAGAAACCAGTCAGCGTAGTCTGCGTCAATTACATTATAAGGTAGGCGTAGTTGTAAAGATATATACTACTAACAGTGTTACCTTTACTTTTCAGATGATTTTTCATATAAGTATATAAAAATGCACATTTAAAATTATAATTTCATATAGATGATATATTTGGAATAAGGTAAGTCGGATTTTTTTTATTTCGTGAATTTTATAATTTATTTATTTATTATTTAAGTTACAACTAAATTACTTTTTGGTCTTCGCCTTTTAAAACTTTTTCATACATACATAATATCGTACCGCAAATATTTCTGTAATTTATCAATATATCTATACATATCTTTACAAATAATGAATAAGAACATTTTTGCAATCATCATAAAGTTTGTACTTAAACAATAGAATCCACGTAAAATTAATAAACGTCTTTCCATTTTCTTACGACGATTTACGGCTACATTCAACATGATGTCTGTAATTATATCAAAGACTATGAAATTTCCAAATTAAATAATTCAAATAGGTATATATTTTTTTTTATTTTGTACTTGGACAAGAAAAGGTAGTCATTTATTATGCGTGTTCCACACAAAAACATCAAATACTTATATATATTTAAAAATTAAGAAACTACAATTTTAATTAAAAATATTAATGATCGATAACAATAAAGAGGAGCTGTTTATAAATCGTTTTAAAAAATCCACGAAATTACTGGTTATTTCACAAGCCTCACGCTTAATATTATTTTTTAATGCAAGCAACAAGAAAGAAATAATGTAAAATAAAAAAGAAACGATAGAAATTGCGCACTGCGCACGTCACTTTATAGCTTTCAAATGTCAAAGCGAAAGCACCCGAGTGAAAAAATCCTCTATGGTTTTATTTCATTACAAAGATTTTGGTGTAAAATACTCGTAATATCCTTGTCAGATCGTGTTGGCCTTGATCTCGCAAGGTTTCAGAATACGTGTTCAAGGTCGCATTAACAAAAGCGGGATAAGATTATTATATGTATGGTATCTTCCATGTAGTAGGTAATTAATCCACCTACAGGATTTGAATGAGATATAATTAAAAAAATAATTAAGTTTGTTTATTTCTTGTTTATTTTTTGTTTTGTGTTTGTTTTTGTTCAATAGTTTAAAACCGAATTAAAAGTTTTCTCGTCAATTTTTTTAACATGGATTATGAAGAAACTTATACATAGATTATAAAAATATAAATATTACCGTTATAATATGAGTAGTTCTGTTTTTGTTTTACACGGTGTATATTTTTATTGTTTTATTTTTAATATTTACTAAAGTAAATTGTATTCACAAATATTCTGTAAAAATAACAGTCAACCCCATAACAAAACTCAACGCTTAGTTTAGAAGAAGTAAACGTAAAAATGAACAGACGCAAATATCGAGTTTGTTTTTATTGAGTAGCTCTGTTTTTGTGTTAAATGATGTTTGTTCCTATTGTTTTATTTTTAATATTGACTAACGTAAATTGTATTAACAAATTTCCCTTAAATAATAGTCAAACCCGTATCAAAACTCGTCTCTTGGTTTAGAAGAAGTAAACGGAAACAAACGTAGACATCGACTTGTTTTTGTCTCATTAGATATTAGTTATTACTAGCTATTGCCCGTGATTCCCTACACACGAATTTTGATAATTTTAGGAGTTGAATATTCAAAATTCTTATTGCTCACATACGCTATCCTATCTACAAAATTTCAAGATTCTAGATTTACTGGTTCTGGCTGTGTATATATATATATATATATATATACAATTTTAATGGTCCTATGTTAATATTATGGTACCTAATTGTCCGTAAGCATCTATCCATGTGACTCACGTGACACCAACAGTGAATGTGGATAAGTATCACGCCACAATTTTAAAGTATTCACGACGCATGTCAGGGACAACATGTTGGCTGCTCTAACCAAAGTATCCGTTCAATTTCTTTGGCACTACTTACCAAAGCCATTAGGTTCATTGTTAGATTCAATAAAAATAAATACGCTTACGTCTTTAATATCAAATGTAGAAGAATATTATGGCGAAGTAGTATTAGATTTAGACTCACCAAGCATTATGCATTAATATACGATTTAATTTTATTGTCAATGTTTACGAAGAATTTGCTTTATTTTTTTATTCGACACAAACCGTTTATGAAGTTACAAATTTTCTGTAAGTAGGCTAAGTCAGAATTCAGTAAATCAACGTGATCTCTGTATGATATAAATTGTAGAATAAGCAGTATAAATGTATTTTTCTCCAAACTTGCATTCAACATTTTATAATGAAAATCAGGAAAGACCAAATTCTGTTTTATTTTTTTATTCTATAAAGTCGTTCATATTTTACCTTTGTGAATTAACCCTAACATTATTTCGCTATTAAACATTTATAACTGGTTATTTACAAGTCAAGCTTATGCACATGAAGTCGTGGCAAAAGCTAATTTTTAATATCATTAAATTTTGATGTTTACAAATTATGAATATTTTCAAAGTCCAAGATTTAAATACTTAATTAGTTTGTAATATATTTCATAATTTTAGCATTACTGTATTGTGATAATGATATACATTGTTTTGTTATTATAAAACATAGTTTGTTAAACGGTTTACTCTTATCGTATAGTCCCTCTTTGTTTACAGATAAAAAGTTCATAGGGTTGAACTTATTGTGCTCATGCAAAGTTTTAATTATCTTACATAACGTACCTATCTTGTACATATTTATATATTCATAATATCTCGGTCTGACTATGGGCTTGGCATAAATATGCATGTAGGAGATGTAGGATGACATAAAAATAATTTTGTTTACACTTCACTTACGGCACTTGTTCTTTAGACGTATTATAGAAGCTTATTTTTATACATGATTTTCTTTTTTGTTATGTATGTACACAAATAAACTTGTTCTTTATCTATCTATCCATCTATTTCCCAATGAGACTGTTTTACTGTTCAGTACCAATTTACTGATCAGCCATATACGGATATTTTTTAAAACTTAATTAATTTTTTTTAACTTGTAAAATTGTCTGTGATAATGGTAAACACATTTTAGGGAATATCATACAATACGTAAAGGAGCACAGGCTGCGCTCTAAAAATGTTTTTATAGCTACCCAATAATTGCTGGTTTTTATGACTTAAACTCGTCTTCAGACAAATCGATTTCAACCTACTACTAAGGTCTATAAAATATATTGGGAGGATTCAAATTCAACATAGGACGACGAGATTTCATTATGTAATTCATGAACTCTCGGATAGTGATGCTATAATCTTGCTCTATAGTTTGGTATAAATCCACTGAGGCCGTTTAATAAGGTTAAGACCATTTTCATTTCCCTTCCAGATGACGTTGACATTTCATTATATTTTTACGATGTCATTCTACAGCGTTACTACTCTTATACTTCTCATCGCAAACGAGAAGATATTTCAACTTAAATTTTATACATTTATTTTTGGGGTATTTAATGGTTTCCTTTGTTGCAATTACTTTACTACATGAAAAGGCTTTAATTTTCCAATAATAAAAATTCATTTTTACCGCCGCTTACTTTTGTTATTCTACGTTTTGTGCCCAGATTTTGGGTATCTTTTCTGCTATCTTAGTTATTATATTGGACTGTTATATTTCTTTCATTTCACGCTTATTTACATAGACATGCTGTAAGTTTTTCAAATATAAGTATATCTATAGTTTTTAGTTGCTTATTTATTACATGTGCCCGTTACTTTTAAAAGTTAATCAAGTCTGATCGATTACTAATAAATGTGTAAAACATTTTTGTAAGAATGTAGGGATTTACTCATTGATTGCTGACCAATGTGATTAAAGGGTTTATTAGATAAAATAGTGATTGTTTGCGTTGGTGTTCATGATAATCACGTATCGTTATCAGATTATACTTCATATTTTTGTATTTAATCATAGTCTGTCAATATTATGACATAAATATATTTTGTTGAAAAGATACTACATAATATGTACTTATTTATAACTTCACTTTATTACTCACAGTGATCGTCTCAAATTATTTGACTTCAAATAAATTCAGTAACTTGAAATATATGATCAGTCAAACTCGGAACCTTCACAAGACACTCAATGTCGTACTTCCCTATTTTTTTTTTGTCTATTAATCAAACGGCGACTAATCGATTCTTCTTTTTATTTATCTTTACGCGAAGTTTCTTATGGGGTGGACAAGATCAGATTGATTCGAGTGCCATAAGTTTCTACATCTCTTGTCGTTTATTAATATTATATAATAGATCTCTTGTTGCATCCAAACTAGTTTCTGTTTGGAAATTTATCTTATTTAAATAATTATATTTAATTAATAGATTGCTATAAATAAGTTTTTAAAACCTACCATTCTTTTCCTTTATTGAAAGGGTAGTGAGATATTGCGTAGCTGGAAAATTACATTCCTAATCGTAGATCTTGCCAATATTATTTCCTGCTCTACCCTACTATTGGGTTGAGGAAAACGTGGTTCAAGGTTGCCCTTATCGTACTTGTTATTGCCTCTTCTATATATGTGAAGTGTAAATAAAGAATTATATTCGTAAATTATTTATATAATTCATGCTTCAGTTAATAATTACCAACTCGTTCCATTAAATAAATATTAATGTTTGTTGCTAGGCACTAATTATGAAAATTTTTCTCTGAATGATAATTTTATTATATATGGTGAATGATAATATAATTGAAAGAATTATTTTCAAGTGTTATGTGAAAGAAGGTAAATATGAAAAAAAACTTGTCGGTTCTACAGTTCGGCCAATTTTTATGAAATTTGACTTACGCATAGCTTTTGACGTTTAACATGGAAAATACTGATTTGGGTTACTGGTTTTAAATTTAGTAACGTAATAAAACTTTAAAGTCTTGATTTGTAATTGGAGTTAGTACTTTGCGTGCATACGTTTCGCAATACGAGTATCTTCATCAAATCTAAACTCATATTGTTGATAAATTTTTCAGTCCAAGTATTTTCACGAGTTATAT